AAGTAAGAGTTACATACCGAGAACGGAGGCAATCAGCCTAATACATCCCGAGGGCCGTAGGCCCGAGGGATGTATAGGCTGATTGCCGACGTTCGAGGTATGTAACTGGCTTATTTCATACTTGAAGAAGTTTTCCAAGCACTGCATTAATATTTTCATTTTTAAATAGGCAAAGAAGCCGTTTTCATATGAATTAAAAACCAAACCCTCGATTAGAAAGATTACGAAATTTACAGTATTGAAAATTCCCAACGGGAATAATTTGCATAACCAATTTTCTCGTTAGTCCCATGAGACCAATGCTAACAATACACCTTTTGTAACAAGTAACTGGACAATGTTAAATAACTGTTTTATTCCATAACTGACATCGATTAGTCAGTTAGCATAACGTGTTAAGTATAGGATTTTCAAAGCTAAGGTTGTGGGTTCGAATCTACTTGGTGTCATTTGAATTTTTCTTTCTTTCTTTCAAGTTTAAAGTTTCAGACGGAAAATTTCTAAGTTGAACGTAGTAGTTAATTAGGTATTCAAGGGCAATATACATTAGTATTCAAGGGCAATATATAGATATATCCCTGAAACTTCGTTATAAAGCACTTGAATACACAACGAGCTGGGGAATAAGCGAGATACAACACTATGAATAACAAAGAAAACTGAATCAAGTATGAAATAAATCTAGATATCCCTGAAACTTCGATATAAAGCACTTGAATACACAACGAGCTGGGGAATAAGCGAGATACAACACTATGAATAACAAAGAAAACTGAATCAAGTATGAAATAAATCTATTTATTGACTGTGAACTCTTACTTGACTATCACCATATATTATAATACATTCATCAGTTCCAGTAGAACTGCAAAAAGATAATATCAAACAATTAACAATAGATTTCAAATAAATTTTTGTATACAGCAACATAGATAGGCTAACAATGAGATTTTGTAAGAAGGTTTTCCATCTTTTTTGAGTTGCAGTTTCAAGACTGTGGAGAAGGCGACTGACTGCAACATTATA